TTATGTGTGTGATTCTGAAAAAGCAGTTGATGAGAGATGTAAAAAATTTATGTGAATTGTGCATAGAATCAGCAAGAAATCCACTGTGGATTTCTTATTTCAAATTATTAATAGTGAATTTCTTGCAGATTCTATCAATCATTCTATTCTATTAATTGTGAATTTCGTATTTCAAATTATTAATAATTTCCAAATGGTACACGGAGGAGTAAAATCTTAAATTTCTTATTTGCAGCTGGACAGTTTCACCCACCGTCTGCTGTCTGTACTGGGGAACTGTGAGTCTGGGAAGGTGTGTGAAGACAGGATGTACGACACCAACATCCTCTGTAGGAAACTGGCCACAGTGCACCCTGCACTGCTGCTCAGGTGGGTCTTTTACTTGTCTTTATTCTTTATTTTAGGTAAAAACAAACCCATAAAACACAATACATCTTTAAAAATAATACAAAACTCTAGAGACATACAAACAATACACAGAAAAACCTACTAAGCAGATGCTTAGTGTTTCAGAAGAAAGAAAGAGTTCCTGCAGAAGGTGTCAGATCTTAGTAAGCAGATGATGATTGCAATATGGGAGGAAAAATAATCGCTTTAACAAATCTTCCTCTGCCTAGTTTACAGTCTACTACTATTGCATTTTTACAGTTCATATTCTGCTGGGGTAGCCTGAGTGTCAGCCTTTTTAGCTTTTGTTTGCTCCCCACGATCTGCTGCTTGCACTTTCAGAACCGTGTTAGAGTTCAAGATTTGAAACGTGACACAAAATACATTAAGTGGCCAGTGAGAAACAGTGAGGAATTTGGGGCCCCCTCTGTTAAAGATTATATTCTGCTACTTGAATGTCTAACATCTGAGTCCCTCCTACCGTCCAGACAACTCCCGATGATCGCTGCCCTCCTGCGAGGTCGAGTCCACCTGAACTTTGATGAGTTCTTCCACAGACATCACTTCCTGTTCTTCACCCACGTCTTGGGCCTCCTGGAACTGCTGGTGCCACACGTCTTCCGCAAGGAGCATGTCTTGGAAGATGTTTTGGAGTCCTATTTCGACCTTCTTAAGGTAGGAACTGAAATATCTAGCACCTCAGATAATTTGTGAAGTATGTTTGTTGCTTGATTTATTTGTATTAAGGCAAAGCAAATACACTTTATGGAGGACATCCTCCACCCACTCCAAATCTAATAGATAAGGAAAAAAAAATTCCTACATTTTCAAATTTTGACATCATACATAATTTATTATATAAGTTTACTGCCAATTATTACAACATCCATTGTCACTGAAAAATAAAAGTTTTCAGTTATTGTACAGATGGTTTTGATTCAGTGTACAGCACATATAAAAGGAATGAAATGCATCACTGCATCAAAATAAAAGACAAAATGATAATTATATAGCTTTGTCTTGTCTCTTCTCTTCATACATGTATTATTATTATGTGCTATCCACATTCCGGCATGGCAACAGACATCTTTGCCCATTTTCGGCAATTGGTGACCACTGTCAGAGGGCAACAAAATTTCTTGACAATGTTTGTATGTCAAAAATCAGGTGAAAATTAATGTGCAGAATGATGTCATCCATAAAAATTACTTGCTGTGGCCTTACCTGATGTTCCACCAAGGCTTGCAACTCATACATGTACATGTATATGGGCACATACAGCAGGACAAGTAAATACTAAAATAGTTTAGTGACTGTGTTGCTGTTATTTTTTACAGGAACACTACTCGAGCAGGAGAGAGCTGGGTGCCCTGGTGAACAAAGTTATCCAGTTCCTGCACCAGTTTACCTCAAGTGACCCCCAGAGAGCTGTGGCATTATTGCAAAAACACTCTGTGACATTACAGTAAGAACTTACTGTCCATCAATCAGTAAAATCCATCAGATACCTGTATTTAAACTCTATTGGTAAGATAGTTGGACATCATTACTGTACATCATTTGACGGTATTTTGTTGCTCACGAAGGACAAAAATTTTGCCCACTCCGTCATCCTTGAGGGAAACTTCATGTATTGGGAAAGATATTTCAAAATGCTGAAATGGCAACAAAGGGGATTATTTCATTTGTTAATTTCTCCTCTATTTGCAGGAAATGTGATAATTTTAGATGGTTAAAAACTTAACTTAAATTCCTGGGAGACCCCAAAGAATACTTTGCTAAAACAACAGACTTTGCTCTGTATGAGTACTATGACAAAAGACATATGAGATTTTTAGTTAAAGTCCTTCCTGCACCACATGGTGAGTGCTAAGCAAAGAAATCAGTAAACTGTTGCTATTAGCGTAGAAATCAGTATGTACCGTTTTTGAAGTCTGTGGTATGACTCGCCCGGGGATTGAACTCACGACCTACTGAATGCAAGGCGAGCACTCTACCCACTTGGCCATTGCAACAGTTTTGAGAAAATAGTGAAAACCCTGCATTTAAGTGTCCTGTTTTTTTCCTCAGTCACGTCTCCAAGCAGTACCCAGACCTGTAAAAGTGTCTGAATTTAGTAACCTTTCAACTCATAATCAAATGATTTTATTTATTGCCAATGAGCCACCTCGTCAGGAAGAAAGTTAAAGTCTCCTGTGTTTTTTCCCTCAGTCATGTCTCCAAGCAGTACCCATACCTGTAAAAAGTGCCTGAATTTAACTTTCCCCTTGCTACCCAAACTCATAACCAGAATACTTATTACCAATGATCTGCCTCAGCAGAAAAAACTTTTAACTTTAAGTGTCCTGTTTTTTCCCTCAGTCACGTCTCCAAGCAGTACCCGGACCTGTCCCTGCTGAAGTCTCTCCTCGCCGGCATCTCTCTCCCCTCATCCTCCTCTGACTCCCTGGAGGAGACATCCTCATCCTCGTCAGCCAAGGAGGGAGGGCTGCCGGAGACGGGAAGAGCCTCTCCCATCCCATTGGTTGTTCCGCCTGCCTCCGGCACCCCCTGGACAGCCGTTCAGCTGGCTCCTTTCCTGAAGAGGATAAAGAAAGGCCAGGATCATGATGGTATGTTATCTTGAAAGTTCATCTGTGTTGGTAGAAATCATTATGAAGCAAGTTAAACTGTAATATCCAACACAATAAATTGGAATTAAAACACAACAGAGACGGGGGGCACCACAGACTTTCTGCAAACTATGATCCAGTGCTCACGGAGTCACATGTGTTATCTGCGTGACGTCACGGAAGCGGTGGATTGCTCATTCCTTGCCAAAACTGGAGTTGTACAGTCAAAAATTTGGGTGAGTCCAATTTATTGTGTTGGATATTACAGTTTAACTTGCTTCATAATGATGGTTATGTTTGTTACTTTCATGTACAAAGGTTTGGTTTTCCTTGTGTTTTTATGTTTGTGTGTCAGCTGTAGTTCTTTGAATGCAGCAGAGCACAGTCACAGGACATGGTGTACTGTAACAGTGGGGGGTTTATAGGCATTACCAACTGATCTGTCCGATGGGTATAGACTTTAGACCTTTTAGCCAAATCGTTAGAGCGTCGGGGGTGCAAGCTGGTGCCCGGGTTTGGCGTGGGTTCAATCCCCGGCCTGGGACCAGGAATGTCTTTCTGTTTCTACTCTCCTAATTCTTACAGCATAAAATTATTTTGTCCATTAAGCAATATTTTTATCCTTCTTGTCCTTCAGATGTTCTGAAGGTCCTGCACGACCTTGAGCAGACCTCCAAGAGGCGGGTGGACGTCCTTGAACACTTCCTGGTAAGGAAAACCAGGCTCATGTCTTACACATCAGAAAGTGGAATTGCTTCTTTTCTTGGTTTATCTAGTCAAAGCCCACTGCTCCCAACAACAATATTATCATGTGTGTTTGAAAACTTGTTCTTTAAATTTTCTGTTCACAAGTCATGTAGCTAGCCAACAGACATTAGTAAAATCTTGGAAAAGCCAACAGAAGTAAAGCTGCTGTCTTTTGTTGTTGAATTTCATGGGATTTACTTAGAGCCTAAATATATATAAGGGTAGAAACAATCAGTAGCAGAGATCTCAATTGGAGTCTATCTAATAAGTCTAATAAAGATATTTGCTTAAGATATAGAACATTTCAACTTTGATTCATCCAATGCATTAATCATTGTGGATTGACTAAAAATTAGGGATTTAAACATGGAAAAACACCCCAACACATCCTACTTGGAGTCACCATTGACAAAGACTCTGATTGCATCCAGTCACAGTCTCTACCCTGACATACCAGTATATATGAGATAAGATTGTTTTCAGGTTGAATGTGATTTTTTGTTTTGTTCCAGGCTGACTTGAAGAGGCTAATGTCAGACAGCCACGATGACTGTAGAAACATCGCGCACAACCTGGTCATGAGACACATCAAGAGTGAACCAAGGTGGGATGGTTATCCTGTCATGTTTATGTAGGTTTGTGCCCCCTAGAATTTTGTTCTGTAACTGCATTTGTTCTAAAACATTGACTGTAGAAACATCGCACACAACCTGGTCATGAGGCACATCAAGAGTGAACCAAGGTGGGATGGTTATCCTGTCATGTTTATGTAGGTTTGTGCCCCCTAGAATTTTGTTCTGTAACTGCATTTGTTCTAAAACATTGACTGTAGAAACATCGCACACAACCTGGTCATGAGGCACATCAAGAGTGAACCAAGGTGGGATGGTTATCCTGTCATGTTCAGGGCTAGAAATTCATTTTTGGGAATAGGTGCACCAGTACACCCAACTTAACGAACTGGGTGCACAAAAAGGTTTTTGGGTACACAAAACCTAATTACAGATTTTACTGCTCCTCTTCTGAGCTTGAATCTGAAATGGAAGCTAACTTCAAAATCTTACAAATCAACTACTACTGTAACATCAAAAAAGATTTTACAGGTATTATTTTTTGGACATTTAGATGCCAAGAATGTCCTGTATACTATTGTATTTTGATATGTACAAAAATATCTACAAAGTTCATAAATTTTGTATTTAGGTGCACCAGTGCACCCACAGAAAAAAATTGGCCTCCAAGCATTCAGCGGAGCTCCAAAAAAGTTACTGTTACAGTATAGAAAACTTGTCCCACCCTGGAATGTGTGAATGTGAGATGGGCACCTAATTGACTGGAGCTTCCCTGCAACTGTTCTTTAACTTATGTCTAGCAGTTTGTGAATGATTTTGTCCATGAATGATTTTGTTGCAGTTGCGCTGCAGACTTCTTGGACTCCTTCCTGCACTGCCTGGACACGAACGACCACAACATCGTCAAAACAACACTCAGGAACCTGGCTGACTACATTGTGCTGTGCCAAGGTATGGCTCAGAGCTGGCTTTTGAAATTGAACAAATCAAAAACAATTGGGGAATGTATGCTTCATTTTATGCTACCTAATCCACCACCAGGACTTCTGCATGTAGCTAGAACTTTGCAGTTGTTAGCGTTACAACCCAGGCTATTGTTTATAGTCTTAGAAGGAAAAAAAATCAACCCAGGCTATTGTTTATATTAGCACAATCCATGATAGGAAAAAAATCCCTATTAGGCCCTTTGTGGAGTGACTTTCCATGTGTGGAGTGACTTTCCTGTGAACTGCATTTTGTTTGTTTTTATAGGTATCTGGTAACTTTAAGTAATTTTTTAATTTTGTCATTTCATCAGCCAACTGTTTTTGATCTGTTTAAACTCAAAAGCACAATGTTATTGTCACTCTAAATTGTTGTGCTAAGGCCATTATATATTGACTGTTCTTGGTTGTGGGTAATTGTAATTACAAAATCTGGTTTCACACACCACAACACACGACAAAAGAAAATCTAACTTAAAGGGTTAAATCATGTAGAAACATAGCTTGAACTGCCAGTTTTGTGATACAAGTAGTTGTCTTTGCAATGACATTATAATGTCCTTGGTCTTTGGGTTCACTTTTCTTGACTGAATGATTGTCTTCTTTTCCAGAACACGCCAACGTTCTAGTCCGAAAGGCTTTTGCTGTCGGCGTTCAAATGAAAATCGACACTTCCAACATCATAGCTGATGCCCTGAACATGCTCAGATTAGAGGGATACAATGATTAATAGGACACCCCTCCTTCCATGTGGACTGTCCCAACTTTACACAGAGAGCCACAGGACATGGCCACTCCCATTCGCCCATGTAGGGATGTGAAGATGGTTGAAGGATATGATTAGGACACCCCTTTTTCTACATGGACCATCCCAACTTTACACAGAGAGCCACAGGACATGGCCACTCCCATTCTCTTGTGTAGGGGTGGTGAACATGCCGATACGCTATTAGGACTCCCCTTTTTCTACATGGATCATCCCAACTTTACACAGAGAGGCACAGGGCATGGACACTTCCATTCTCTTATGTAGGGGTGGTGAACATACTGATACTGGAAAGACACACTTATAAGAACACCCCTTCTTTCTTTATGGATCTTTCAAATCGAAAAACCAACATGCATTCATAAGTGTATTCCATTGTGTCAACGGCTATACATGTAGATATTAAATACAAGGTATATTAAACTTAGAATGTACTAAGAGATGTAAAATAAAGAGAATACACAATAAAGCAGCTACATGTATGTACGGAAACTGAAACATTTTCTACCTTTTTATTTGATAGATTGATCATTCAAACAATCTTGGAAGACTGTGCCTGTTAAGTACATCATAGTTTATACATTATACAGCATAATTTCTTGTTTGTCTATGCTTCAGTTCACATTTACAATTTACAGGTTTTCTCACTGAAATGTCGACATTCCTTACTTGATTTCTTTTAATTCCCAGACCTGTGGATTACTAGTAAGTGTTCGATAAATTAACTTTACTTGCCGATGACAGAGACATTGTACCATGATGATAATGATTGTAGTTCTCTCGTTGAGAAGTATCTACATGGTCCTATTAAGTTCACTATTCCAGAAAATTGTGCGTAGAATTGTCTTTCAATCAGTGGTAATTATTAGTTAGGCGTACAGACTAACTGCATGTATTATGCTCCAAAAAGGCCACAATTGCACTGATTTTAAAAACAACAATTCCTCTACACTTTCACATGATAAGTTTGATTGCTATCTTAGCATGAAAGTTAATCTGTGTTGGTACAAGTCATTATGAAATAACAACTAAACTTCATCTCCCAACACATTCTAAGTGTAGATTGGTCCATTCCATGAACAATGTTGATGGAGTCAGCCGAAAATTTGGGTAAGTCCCAATAGATCATAGACCAGTGACGTAAGCAATTCTGTGAAAGGTAAACTGGTCTGTTTATTCCAGTGTTGGAGAGTAAGATTAGCCTTTATTTCATAAGGCAATGAAAGTTAGACATCCAGGTAATAAGATACGCCAAAAAGCAGTTACTCAAGCAAATGCATCTCTCCTCTGGTCTCTCAGTCACTGACGAAAGCTAGTGGATACTAGCTAAAATGTCTGACCATTTCCAAAATCATATCCAGTTGCTTGAGTAACTGCTTTTTGGCGGAATTCATTTCACAAGTTTGGTTCCTGTTTTGGCCACTTCACTCATTACGAAACCACGCCAAACTGCTTCCCGACGTCGATGAAGGCGTCCACGGTTCGGTCGATGTCCTCGAAGCTGTGCACAGCGGAGATCTGGACACGGATTCGCGCCTTGCCCTTCGGAACCACCGGATAGCTGAAGCCGATCACGTAGATCCCTCGCTGCAATTGGGTACAAGAACTCAATGTAGTCACACAATGCTGGTGCATGTAACATTTGCAAAGCAAAGGCATAATGTTTACCTTCACATATGGTTCAAGAACTCTTTATTTATCAATCTAATATATAAGAAACACATTCGGTAGTCCCTTCAGCCATTGAAGGCTGATTTCCAAGGGAGCCCATGGAAACATGATACAAGGATTTCAAAATAATATATTAAAAAAATTCTTACACATAACGCTGGTTAAATGATAATTATGCATTCATGATGTAAATTGGGCCTAGGAAAAAAAATGTTGTGTTTCCTGATTGACCCTAGAAAAAACTGCTGACCCTAGACTTTTTTGGATGGACCCCTGCAAGGGACATAAATAATTTAATTTTTCAAGCTGATCAACGTTTTCTAGCTCACCTGAGTGATAAAACATTTTACAATCGTTTTTCCAACATTGACATTGAAATGAGAAGTGTGCTCATCATCATTAAAAATTGCTCATGCAAGTTTCACTTTGATAAACTGTATTGTATACGTTGGATCACTAGAGATCGCCAAAGTCTAATGAAAAAAAAAAAAAAGAATCCCTACCTACCGACCCTAATTTTTTCAGGACTGAAACTAAAAACACAAACATTTTTTTCCTACGTCTAACATTGAAAATAACCTGCACCAAGAAGCTTTACCTTTAGCAGAGCGTCTGACATCTCGGAAGCGAGACGGGCGTCACCCAGCATCACCGGGCAGATGGGGTGGTTGTCCCCGGCAATCGTGAACCCGGCGGCCACCATTTTCTCACGGAACCTGAAGGTCGAACAAGAAAAAAGGTCACAGAACATTAACTTTCAACTTTTCAAGTGTTGTGCAGTAACAGTAGAAGTAACTTCTAAAATTACTGTGATTTGCAAACAGGGCAGATGGGGTAGTTGTCCCTGGAGATGGTGAATCCGGCAGCCACCACTTTCTCACGGAACCTGAAAGTTAACGAGAACATAAAGGTCATGGAACACTACTGGTGACTTAGAGATGTTAATTTAAGCATCCTATTATAATTGAAAGTGTCAGCAATAATTTCAGAATCTGTCATTTACAAACAGGGCATGTCAGTTGTCCAAAGTTTAGCTGGAACCTCTCTGTCTCTGGGCAACCATGCAAAGGCAAATCTGTGGTAATGTTAAAGTATGCCAATTTGCCATCATCCTCTCATACAATTGCAGAAGCAGTCCAGTACTGTTAGATAGTGACCCTGCCTCTGGACTATGAGGTTGGGAGTGCACGCTATGTACTGTAAAGGGTCACAGTCCCTAGGATGGGTTGTTACACTGTGGTCCACTGTTCATTGTGCTTGTCAGAAAGAGCTAGGGGACAAGCTGGTACAATGAACCTGTAAATAGTGTTACAGTACATGACGTCTGTCTTCTCTGTCCAGTCAGTGAGCTAAAACTGGATCCAGATCCCTTTTTTTTTTACCTTGCTGTGTTCTCGGCCACCTTCCTGGGCAGGTCAGCCTCTCCCTGCATCAGAAGGTCGAACACTTTACTGGCACAGGCCACCACGGGGGGCGGGAGGGTGTTGGAGAACAGGTAAGGTCGTGACCTCTGTCTCAGCAAGGTCACAAGCTCCTTGGGTCCTGCGGTGTAACCACCTGGTGGAGATAAATACAGGATAAGTTCCACTGCAGGGGAGGGGGGCAGTGATAGAACAGGTAACGACACGACCTCTGCTGCAGCAAGGTCAACCTTCATGGTGAAGGTAATGTTACAATTCTTGTATGTACATGTATATGACACATTCTATGGCCCCCAACTGTGGAACAACCTGTCACTGATCAGGAAGCAATGTAAGACTCTGGGACCAGTAAAATTTATTCAGGCATTGTGATGCCATGATTGAAATGAGAGGTGAAATTGTGTGAGTTTTTTGTTAGGTCATTCTGTATCGTATGTGATACCGTAATATTCAAGTCAAGTCAAGTCAAAGTTTATTGCACAACGATTGTCACGGGTACAATGTATGGCAAATAATAAGATTACTAGTTGGTATGTGTCTAACATAATGCTATATATATGGTCAACGGACATTGTATCTGACAGAGTATTATAAATAGCTACTGGCTAGAGAATATTTCGACTCTACATGTACATTCTACATTACGATAGACTATACACATGAAGGGTACAGTGAGCAGTTGTACCTAATTATACTAAACATGTTCTATGGCTACTAAACAGTGTATACTAAGTTACTTGCCAGGAATGTTAAGATTCTACATACAAATGCTACGAAACGCTATACTATATACATGTAGTTGATAAAAAATTCAGTGACTCTACTTATACAGCTATTCTAAGATGTCTTTTTTGCATGGCATTGACCTATATATACAGAAAATGTGTCTGGACATGACATAAGTACATGGAACGTCTCTCTAGATGTGTTGGGTAATGTTTTAGTAGTCTTACATCGGATCATCTGCATTAATTTGCGTCTCTCTTCGTCGTATGTGGGGCATGTCATCAGAAAATGATATTCGTCTTCAACTCCATCTTTGCACGTAGGACATAATCTCTGACTGGCTGGTATATTGTTGTGTCTGCCTTTTTCAATCTCTAGGCAGTGTGCTCCAATTCTTAATTTTGTGGTATTAACTATAAAGGATTTGTTTTGAACAGATAGGAGATAGTTCTCGATGTGAAAGTTCTTTTTTATTTTTGAGTATGTTTCAAGTTTTTTAAAGCTATTTATCTTTTGCCTCCAGCCAGATAGAAATCCGTCCTTAAGGCGCTCTTTGAAAATGAATCCGAAATATTTGGCATCTGTAATGGGATTCAACCAAATATTTTGGAAACCATGTCTACAGAGTGTGTCTCGTACATGGACTACCCAGTCTTGCTCTTGTCTAACGGCTTCGTGATATGCTTTCTTAACTATTCTGTCATCAGGAAGGTTGTTTAGTCTTATCCAATATTTGATCAGTTGCGTCTGGATATCTATGTACAGTGGGAATACGCCTAATTCGCCCCTTACAGCAGCGTTAACTGAGCTTTTAGGGACGCGGAGAAGTATCTTACAGAAGTTTAGCAGAACGTATTCTAAGTCGGAAATCTCGTAAGAAATAGTAGGCTGGACTACTGTTATGTAAAGTTTGTTAATCCCACTTTGTATTCCCAGCATTGCCTGAAAAACAGGTTGTTATGTACCTGAGTGTTACTGCTGGTGAAATAAATAAACTGAGACACAGCTGTTACAAAAGCTGCAGTAGAGAACAAGTGAGAACCAATATGACCTAGTTCTTGCCTGCCATAGCTGTCAATCAATATGCAAATTACCTGCGAGTGACAAGCAGACTGGACTGTACAAAGCTGCCTTTCTTATCAGATAAGCATCTCACATCCTGTTCAATGTGTATACTCAGCACTTAGCCACTACATGTACCTTCATAAGGTGATGCAATAGTATGGACCACATACCGGGTACAATCAACACTGAGACAGTACTCTTCTGTTGATTACATTATATTCAGGGGGAACAAGCAAAATTTACATAGTTTTACGTATAGAAACTTTTAAGTTTCTATACATTTTAATACCGATGCTCCTGCTTTTCCTTTTAATCATACATTTTGCTGCATTTGATATAAGATTGAATAGTCAATGTCATATCACAGTAATTATCAAAAGTCTAAGCTAACATTACTGGTATGTATATATATACTTGGTCAAAGTCCATTTCCATGTATAACACAAAAAGCTTGACAATTTTACATGTAATCATACCAAACTAAAGTTATGTGACTCCTTTTTGTGCTTTCTGTACATAATATAAATTACAATTTCAGGTCTAACATTAATTTTGTGTAGATTACATTGTTACATGGATGCAGAGATTTGAAATTCTAGTTGCATCTAAATTGTAAATCTGAATATTTCCACGTTAATATACACTAATACAGGACATGAATCTAATTTCTGGACACATTCTATTGCAGCTGTTGACCCAACTGGTAACAAAACAAACATCTGTGTTGTTCTGGAGTAAACAGAGAAAGTGGACACTGTTTGAAAATGACAACCAAGTCCCAACAAAAGAGACAGGTCTACATTATTAGATAGGGGATCTAAAGATTGAACTTTTTTTTTTCTTTTTGCTTCAGATAGGAGACTCTAGAAGAATGCCAGGGGTTATTTAAAATTATAATCTTTGTGCTTTCAATACTTCATTGACTGACTCTTGCAGAAAATAATTCTGACAATTAAAAAAAAAACAGTTTGCAAACCCACCAAATATAATATTCTGTCACACTCACAGTCAGTGATTTCTGCTGATTTTAAAGTGTACACAAATTAATTGTTGTATAATCAAACTTGTAAGCCAATACTTGTTCTAACAAAAGTATATGAAGCCATCAGAAAAATACATGTATCAACCATCTTAAACCTACATGTACACTACAAAGTCTGTGCTTTTCAAAACTTTAGTGTTTTGGTCCCAAGGTTATCAGCTCAGTCCATGGACTATGGATTCTTTAGTCTTTTTACATCAAGAAACAACAGTTACTGAAGACCTTGTTTTGGCCTTGGGTATTGCATCAGCTGTGCAACGTTCTCAGCCAGCAACCACACAGGTGTGTCCGTTGCCATGGTAACACGTACGTGTGCCGAGGTCGGAGGTTGGGGATGTGTCAACTTTGACCTTCCTACCTTGTACGTGTTTGGTAAAACGTGACCGGAGCAACAAACAAGCCCATTCAGACTAGCTATCAGACAGCATATTCCATGAATCTATATAATGATGTAAACTGTATCTTGTTTTACTGCATATTTAGTCTGACCCTTACCTCTTCCCTCATCACCTCAATGACTAAAATTCTCTCTTTCCTTCGTTCTTCAGTATCAAATATTTTCTTAGAAGTTAGATATTGATCTGTATATCTGACCTTGCCAAGATCAGTTGTTGCTATTTGTGATGCCAGTTCCTACCTAGATTGACAAAGAGCTAGAGCAGTGGCTTCCTGTTAAATTTGATATCACTATCTGAATGTATTGATTTTTGCCGGCCCTAAGACTGAAGAATAGCCATCCCCCCAGCTGTTGCTTCGCACAAAAGGCATGTGTGCCCAGCTGGCTAAAATTAAACATGAGTTAGGACATGCTACAGATGTTATATCATTATCGGGGCTCAAAATACTTTTTCTGATAACACTGAAAATTACCTACACAAGACAGACTTTACCTGCATCACTCAGTAATTTATTAAGTACAGATCACACTAAAACTGTTGCCATTATTTTTTTTTATACACAATATACGTGGTAACAGTCAATGCAGCGAATAAAAAATCCACATAAATGTACATCCAGATCTATAGTACAATTAGTACAAACCCAGTACAGGGCAGGTTACTGTATGCACATGTAGATGCAGACGTCAGAAATACAGTGCACAGCTCCAATCTTACCTGAACTGACCTGCATACAAATGTGTGCAGGTGGTATTTCCAGCCCTGTTTGTACATCTACATGTACATGTGGGTATAAGCTGGTGGATTGGGATTGCATCAGACAAGGATGTGTGACATGTGCTGAACACACACACACTGTTGACTCAGTCTCAATATTTGCAGTGCCCTATGGCCCACATTGGTACCCTAGAAATGTTAAACTACAACATTGTGGCTATCAAACCCAATGTTGGGATATTTTTTCAAAGTCATCCCAGCCTTTAGTGTTGTTTCTCATAGATGTGTATTTGTAGGCGCCCCAACTCATGTCAACTTAACTTACCCACAAGACATAGAAAAATTTTATCCATTCCTCCATTAATTAACTCTCACATTCATGCATTCAATGGGAACATAAGTCCTTACCTGCAGCCCCTCCCAGTGCCTTGCCCAGAGTAGAGTTGATGATGGTACATCTCCCATCCACTCCCAGGAACTCTTCTGTTCCCCTGAACAAAAAGAGTAACACATTAGATTCTTAAAGACATTTATGAACTTTCTGTACTCCTGAATAGGCAGATGACTGCTACAACAAAAGGGACTGCAGAACAGTCTTAAAAATTGTCCAAATTTGTCAACAAAAGCCCACAGGTGGTTCTCAGCACACACTATTCCACAGAAGAATTATAACTCATACAAAATGAAAATTATTTCCTTGAAAATACTTAGTACATGTATGTGTACAGTGGTAATATACATGTAAGTTGAAAACAGAGGGCTGTGAATTAACAGTTTTAAACTTGAAGCTCACTCTCTGTTCAATAGCTGAAACTCTGTGTTGCAAAGGGTACCATCTTGAAGGTACAAATGTTTTCCCTCAGACACTATTCCTTCAGGTCCAAGAACCAACAAATAAGATTGGTACTGTCTAAGGAGTTTTACAAACAGTAAGAAACAGTCCGTAAATAATTTCATCAGGTTGGTAAACGAATGAATAGCAAAGTTCTTTGATCACAACCATTTAGTTATTTTTTTCGTAAAAAAAAAAATGGTTGTGATCAAAGAACGTTGCTATTCATTCAGTAAGAAACAGCGTCTGACCTCCCAGTGGCTCCCAAGAAGCCGGTGGCGTGGCACTCGTCGATGAAGGTCATGGAGTTGTACTTGTCGGCAAGGTCACAGATCTCCCGCAGCGGGGTGACGTTTCCATCCATGCTGAACACGCCGTCAGTAACGATCAGTCTCATCCGACAGCCTTGTGTCTGCTGAAGGATGGACTCAAGGTCCTGCATGTCCTGCAAATCACACAAATTCTCAACATGAGTAGAGGGAAAGAAACAACCTTCCCGCAACCAGACTCCCTTGGCCAATTTTACTCTCTTTTTCTACTAAATTCTACAATCCGTATTCCCATAGAAAGGCCTGGTGGAGGCTAGCAGGATACACTCAAGGTCCTGCATGTCCTGCAAATCATGAATATTTTCAACATGAGTAGAGTCAGTGGTAGAAATACTTTAATTATTTCAGTGTTCTGCAGAAAGTCAAAATTTTGTTTCTGACGTTCCCGTCCATGCTGAACACGCCGTCAGTAACGATCAGTCTCATCCGACAGCCCTGGGTCTGCTGCAGGTCCTGCATGTCCTGGGAGTAAAAGATTATAAGATTTATAATTTAAACTGTATCAAATTGCAACTGGTGCAGTGGCCAAGTGGGTAGAGTGTTGCATTCGGCAGGTTGTGAGTTCGATCCCCAGCCGAGTCATACCAAAGGCACAATAGTTGTACCTCTGGTACATAGTGCTTTCTCTGATTAGCAACAAAGAGTATGGCAGTTAAACACACACCACTGCTGTAGTGATTGCACAATTGTGTGGCCAAAGAACGGGAGATGGGCACCACATGGTGTGGGAAGGACTTTAACTAACTAGCTATAGTGGGGTGACGTTTCCATCCATGCTGAACACTCCGTCAGTAACGATCAGTCTCATCCGACAGCCTTGTGTCTGCTGCAGGATGGACTCAAGGTCCTGCATGTCCTGGGGGGTATACAGAAGTTCTCAACATAAGTCGAGTGGAAACTTCAATCTGACTTGATCTTCACTTGCTGAAACTATGTGTACCTCATTCTTTAGCTAAATCATAGTAGTAAATGACATCTTTTGGACCGAACTAAGTACTAGAAAGACATGAAAGGATGTGCTCAAGGAAACTGGCAGACAGCCAGTCAACTGAACAGCTACATACGCGGCTTGGAGTTCATAATATCCAGCACACAGTGAGATACAACAGACTAAGATGGTGCGGCCACCTCCAGAGAATGGACAGGACAAATGGCCAAAGAAGATCCTCACACTGGATGTGGAGGGTCCAAACCCCCACGGTCGCCCAAGGAGGAATTGGTTTGATGAATGGTTTGGCGAATATATAATATATATTTATAATGAATTAAAAATTGTATATTCGCAGTCCAAGAACATATACATGAAATAGACCTGTCCTTGGTGCTGAATATCATCAACACACAGGTCCAGACACCTTAACCCTTGTCCTGCTGGCATTCCTGGCACAACATTTTTCAATAATTTCATGTCTTAATTAGATCATAGACCCCCAAATTTTTTTGCCCTGCAGTGTCATAAACTACTTCTGCATTTGTTGTGTTTCACTGCTTTGGTGTGATGCGTGGCAGGAGAAATACCCCCAAATCGTACCTATACAGGGTGCTATATAGATGGTACTGTATGTGCAGAACAACAATTGGACAAGGGTTAATCTACTCCTCCCCTGGTCTCACCTTGTGTTTGTACCTGAACCTCTGGGCCTTGCACAGTCGGATCCCGTCGATGATCGAGGCGTGGTTGAGTTCGTCTGAGATCACCGCATCGTCCGGTCCCAACAGAACCTCGAAGATCCCCGCGTTGGCGTCAAAACAGCTGATATACAGGATGGCGTCCTCCCTTCCATGGAATCTAGTTAGGTAAAGATGAAGCCATGATTACCGGGTGTCTCTTATTGATTAAAACTACTCTCCTCTTAACAACCAAAAACCCACAAATAACAGAAAAAGTGGGATCCTTTGTCTTCCTCTGTCTTCAAAAAAAAGTCAAACCCAGTAGTTTTACTAGTTAGTTTCTTAGTAGTTATCAGTAGTTCTATGTGCACTAATTGTCTGTTTTTATACCAAATGTTTCTTCTGTTCCTGCAATTAGCCCTAGGGCATGAATTTGCAATAAAACATTATTGATGCTTTTTCTATGGGCTAACAATTCAAGGTGACATTGCTGGTGTTCTAGATAGCAAAGTGCACCAGGCATCTCTACTGTTCCTGATAAGTGTGTTGGGTTCTTTTACATACAGAGGCTTACTACCTGATACATGTACATGTACACCTATCTTTAATTGGGGTGAAGCATGATGTTTTTCTAGACTGTTGTTACCTGTGCATGCCAGGTCACCCTTATTCTTCTTGATAAGAGTGTAAGAAGAGAAGTGAAAATGGTTGAACTCGAGAATCCTACATACACTAATTTTGTAGCTAGCTAAACTTCAATTAGAGAAATAACTAAAACACTGTAGACACATTGTATGATACTGGAGGGAAAGTACCCAATACTGCCACCCAAGTTGGACCAGACCATCTTCAGCAATAGGGGTTACAGGGCCAGACCATTTGCTGGGGGGGGGGGGGGGAGTTACAGGCGTGCTTACTTTGCTATCTTCTGCTCCAGCTCCCTGTGGATGTCCTGTGTGCCGCAGATGAAGCGAACAGAACTGAGACCTGCTCCGTGGGTGTCTAACGCTGTCTTACCAGCAGCTATAACCTGTAACATAGCAGGGGAATATGTCATAAATAAACTGTCTATACATAAACACCCAAATAAACCAAACAGAGCGCAGGCCTGCTCTTTGGGTGTCTAACGCATTCTTTACCAGCTGCTGCTATAACTAGTAAAATAGCACAAATGAGCTACAAGCCAATTTGTTCTAGCCAGCATCATGTCTTTCCGTCATTTGATGGAATTTTGGCTATCATGACAGACAAAACTTTTTATACCGGCCATTTTTGGATCAAAAAAATTGATCCTGTTATAAAATTGCAACAATTTTGGTATGGCGGCTTTGAAAAGGTGTTTCATGTCAGAAACACCCTGTTTCGCCATGCCATCCACTGTGCATATTGTACGTGGTAAAACTTAATAAATAAATAAATAAATAAAAGTAACCCAACACCAGTTACCATGGTGACAGACATCAACAAAGTCAAGGTCATTGGCCAGGTCAGAGGTTAGTGTTTGGAGAAGAAGAAGAAGAGGAAACTGAGCAAAAACAATATGTTTTTCCTTCGGTAACTAACCTCAGGATTGGAGGACAGGCCCAGGTAGTTGTTAGACACTAACCTCAGGGTTGGAGGACAGGCCCAGGTAGTTGTTAGACATGACTAACCTCAGGGTTGGAGGACAGGCCCAGGTAGTTGTTAGACATGACTAACCTCAGGGTTGGAGGACAGGCCCAGGTAGTTGTTAGTTAGACACTAACCTCAGGGTTGGAGGACAGGCCCAGGTAGTTGTTAGCGCAGAAGTTGAGGATGTTCCCTTCGGTGCCCTGCACCGTGATGTTGGCTGCTTGCGGAGAGGTGATCACGCGCTCCGTCTTCCACGTCCCGGCCTGCCGGATCCCCTCCAACTCACCCCCCAGGATCTCCTACAGAGGCAAAGGGCAAGGGTCAAAGGGCAAGGGTTAATGAGTGATAACACGCTCCGTCTTCCACGTCCCGGCCTGCCGAATACCCTCCAACTCACCCCCCAGGATCTCCTACAGGGGCAAAGGGCAAGGGTCAAAGGGCAAGGGTTAGTGAGTGATCACGCGCTCCGTCTTCCACGTCCCAGCCTGCCGGATACCCTCCAACTCACCACCCAGGATCTCCTACAGGGCAAAAGTTTTACCCACATTGGCATCAAAACAGTTGATATACAAGGAATCTTACTATTCTTAGGTAAAGATAAAGCAATATTCATTCAGCGTACTGCTTTTTTTTATTGAGTGAGTATTGAGTTTTTAAAGTACAATGTAGTAGTGAGTGAGTGCGAGTGAGCAAGTGAGTGAGTGTATCATGAGTGAGTACTAGTAAGTGGGTGGGTGGGTGGTTGGTTGGTTGGGTGAGTGAGTGAGCGAGCGAGCGAGAGTGAGTGAGTATGAGTGAGTGAGAGATCACACGCTCTGTCTTCCACGTCCCGGCCTGCCGAATACCCTCCAACTCACCCCCCAGGATCTCCTAAAATGAGCCAAATCCTTGAGCTGCCATATACGTGAGAGGTCAGGTGGTTAGGGTTGGTATTCGAGTTATGGTTAGGGTTTAAAGGTTATGGTTAGGGTTAGGGTTGGTATTAGAGTTAGGGTTAGGGTTTATGGTTAGGGTTGGTATTAGAGTTAGGGTTAAGGTTATGGTTAGGGTTGGTATTAGAGTTAGGGTTAGGGTTAGGGTTAGGGTTTGTATTAAAGTTAGGGTTAGGGTTAGGGTTAGGGTTTGTATTAAAGTTAGGGTTAGGGTTAGAGTTGGGATCATTGTGCAGGGCTAGGGTTAAACTTACAATTGGGCTTATTAGGGCAAAGGTTTTTTTTCATTTATTGAAATTGTAACAATACATTTACACGTGGGACACAGGCAGCTGTTACTGGTGTTGTGTCCCCAGAAACAAATACAGGACAGGACAATTATTTATTCATTCTCACCTGACTTTAGTGAGGAAAGTCGTGTTAAGTGCCTTTACCAAGGGCATAAGATTTTTTAAATACATGTATGCTGTATTTTTATGAAATGATAACAAAAATGTGCAAAAGGGCAAGTGTCAGACCTTGGAGTTAAAATCTGCATGGTCAGACCTTGTGGTTATAGCCTGGAGTTTAACCTAGTTTAATAGGCCCACTTCCAAGACCACTACAGCCTAGTGTATACATTATGTACCTACATGTAATAGCCTTGGCCAAGCATTACAAGGCTGGACTCAAGGCTACTGTGTTTGTTTAGAATTTAAAGGGTCTGCATGGGGGTGTATATAATAATGGAGGTTGAAAATTAAGAGGTTAACAACTAGTTTAACTCCACTTTTAGCCCCCAGACAACTTATAAAAATCGAACTTTTGATTTATGACCCCCCTCACTGGCCCTCAGTAAGTAATACCTCAATGAGATTGTTAGAGAATAGAGAGTGATCAAGAAGGGAAAGAAAAACTTTTATTAAGAATCAAATATTATTGAACAACCCATGAACCAAGTTGTTAAATTATAAAAATGCATCAGAAAACGTTTTTAATAAGAAAATCTTTCTTAATACACTGATCCTGTATGCAAAGTGTAAACGTGTAATCTATAGTTACAAACTACGTTATCACTCATTCTGTGTGCATATTCTACATCCTTGTTTACACTACGCAAACATGTCATGGTATTTTTCGCTTCAACCTGCTAGTAATACTCTCCAAGCAGAGGTTTGGGTTTGGGGTTATTTTTGGCGTGTTTTTAGACTTTTTTTATCGGGGTTTCTTTTTTTGCACTGGCCATGGGATTTTTCTTTCACCCAACCCTACAAGGGTTGCAAAAAAGAAACCCCGATAAAAAAAGTCTAAAAACACGCCAAAAATAACCCCAAACCTCTGCTTGGAAAGTAGCTAGTATAACAGTGAGTACAATGTGTAAAAGAAAAATAGAGGAATTTCAAAACTCACTTAGCTTAGAATTTAACCAAAGTATGCCATTAACAAACTATGCTAGCCTTGCGAAATAGCTTTTGTAAAATATTTCTGTTAACGTGGCGGTTCTTTCAAAGGGGATCGAAAAACATAATTTATGGGTTAGCGAAAGTGGTTTCGAAAATGTGCCCTTATGGACGATCGGTTGACTTTTATGCCTTCAAACTTCTCTGGTAGAATCTTGACAAGTTTCTCTTACCTTCATAGAGGCCAGAGCGGACTGGAATCGACGAGGAGCGAGGAAAATCGGGCTCCGAGTCCGGAGAGTTCGAACTGCAGTCACGTAAAGGGCCGCCATGTTGGATAGAGTACGACGTTATCCATCGCATCTCCAGAATATATGGCGTTCTCATTTAGGACGCAAGGCGGCAGCACTTTACAGTCAAGATTAGAAGAAAGAATACCCAGAATGCCCCATTCAGCCTCGGTTTCGTTCTCTCTCATTGTTGCTCGCTAAGGCGGTAGGTACAATTTTTCGCTCTTGAAATTTTCTTGCTTTTTCTTGAGCATTTTTGCCTTTCTGGTGAGAGTTCTTAGACATGACTACTCCAGTCACGTCTGTGGTTTCCACCACTGCGGCTGTGTCGCAAACAACCGCTAGTTTGGTGGACATGTCGAAATATGTAGCGTCGACCTCGGTCGCGGCGCTCTCGCCCTTGGGCGAACAACAACAACAACATGGCGGGTTTCTTGGTGCCACTCTTGTGCCGCCAAGGACTGAGCCAGGTGGCCAAGGGTCTCAACCTTTTGGCCAGAATTTTGTCATTGACGACGCAGCTTTGTTCCAACACATCAATAACATGGTGTCACAAGCTGTAGCCCAGTCCCTACAGGCACAGGGCTTTGCCAGAGAACAAATTTCTCAACCCATAGTTTCCGAGCAAGACTCGTTTTCCACCAGCGAGGACTCTGATCATGGCCGACGTTCTCGCTCTAAACATAGGTTTATACGGACCTATGCAGACCGTTTTCGGGAACGTTCCCGTTCACCCTTTAAGGCTATAAGGAGGAAGAAGGCGATCCCGGCTGCCAGCCAAGCTGCCGACCGGGGTCGGAAAGCCAACCGGCAGCCCACTGCCAGTCTATCTGCCAGTCCGGGCGCATCCTCCAGACTGGAATCCCATAATGATGATTCCTTAAGCATACATCCAGCCTCTGGTTCTGAGAGCCTGGATGAGAATGATAATGTAAGTCTCCCAGCGGAGACTTCTCTTTTATGTCCCAACCCTACTTTGGATCAGCCTGCATTTTTGCAGGATTTCCGATCTTGCGAGGCAGGGGTTCGCATTTCCCAACCAGTTTTTAACTGGTTCAAAAGGCAGAGATGCCAGACTTGGAGGGACAAGGAGTTTATGGAGGCAGAGAAGCCACACAAGTTGGATGCTGAGCAGCTCGAAGTAGTTGCAGCTCCAAGGCTACAGCCTTCACTGAGAGACAAGTGGAAAACTGTCAAACACAACGGCAAATTCAAAGTCCAAGTCCAAGCTGTGAAGCTGGACGACACAATTTGCGGGATACAAGAGCATGTGTTAAAGGCTGCTCAGCCCATGTTGAAATCACTGGATGATTTGCAACAGCTCACGGTATCCGAGGACTCAGAGACACGTGAAAAGGCGCTAAGCATAGCAACCAACCTCAACGCGACAGGGCAGTTGTTGGGAATGGTTTGTAACCAAGTCACCTCCTTCAGGAGACGACTGATCCACGAGTGGGTGGACTCGCGCTACAAGTGTCTTGTGGATGATAAGGCTCAGTCGGAAGATGATCGCCTGACCATCCCATCCTGTAAGTGGTTATTGGGACAGGATATCATCCAAAAAATAGAGGAAATTGAGAAGGCAGATAAAACTGTCAACAAGCTCAACGTTACTGGCTCAGCCACTAACACCAAGGGCTACAGATACCAGCAATCCTCCGGGAACGCTGGGGGACGGTACAAGAAGGGACCTGGCCCTTACAAAGGGAAGGTCGGTAAACAGGACTCCTTTCGTCCATACCAACAGTACCGTGGCCTTCAAGTGCAAACCTCTGGGAAAGGTGACCGTAAGGTCACAAAGCCTGCCACAAAAACTAATTTGTCCTTTGTTGGCCCCCGGGTCACTTCCGCGGTCGCCCCTCCGCTGGGCCTTCGGAACAGTTGCCGGACGCCTGCGGTTTTTTCTACCACAGTGGCAGTCCATCACAACAGACCCATGGCACAAAGACTATTCAGGGTCTAAGGCTCCATCTGAAGGGGCGACCGCGGCAGCGTTTCCCTCCGAAAGAACATGTTCGTTCACCGGAGGAGTCTCAGATAATTTTTCAGGAGCTCCAATCCCTACTGGAGAAAGGAGCTGTGATTCCGACTCCCTCGGTAGAGGGAGAGTTTCTATCACATCTGTTTTGGTTCCCAAGAAAACTGGCGCTTGGCGCCCAGTAGTAAATCTTCGACCCCTAAACCAGTATGTAGACGCTCCACA